CTATAAATAGGAGGGATTATGATCAGAGAAACAAAACTAATAGTCATATATTAAAAGGTGCTCAATATCACTAACCATCAGGGAAATGCGATATATAAAAACATGCTCAGTACCATCTCACACCTATCAGAATGGCTATCATCAACAAATCAAAGGACAAGTGCTGGCGAGGATGTGGAAAAAAGGAACCCTCCTGCACTGCTGGGGGGAATGCAGACTGGTGCAGCCACTGTGGAAAACAGCATGGAGTTACCTCAAAAATATTAAAATGAAACTGCCATTTGACCCAATGATCCCACTTCTAGGAATATATCCCAAGAAAACAGGAACGGCAATCAGAAAGGATATATGCACCCCTATGGTCATCGCAGGACAATTTACAATAGCTAAGATTTCGAAACAGCCTAAGCGCCCATCAGCAGATGAGTGGATTAAAAACCTGTGGTACATCTACATAATGGAATACTACAGTACTGTGAAGAAGAAGGAACTCTTACCATTTGCAACAGCATGAATGAAACTGTAGAGCGTTATGTTAAGTGAAATAAGCCAGTCAGAGAAAGATAAATAGCACATGATCTCACTCATTTGTGGAATATAATGAACAACATAAACTGATGAACAAAAATAGAGCCAGAAAAAAAAAATTTTAGAAGTAACCCTGTTATTTGCAGATTTCTAATATTTCCTACAACTTTTGTGATATTATACTATGTTAGTATAGTTTTGGTAATATATTTAAAATCTTTTTTTATTGAAATACTAGAGGCCCACTGCATGAAGATTTGTGCACTGGGGGGAGGGGGTGGCGGGGAGGTGTCCCTCAACCTGGCCTGCGCCCTCTAGCAGTCCTGGAGCCCTTAGGAGATGTTTGACTGACAGCTTGCAGGGAACGGGCCTAAGCCATAGTAGTCTGGCCTCCCTCTGTGGGCGCCCTGTGGCCCTGCCCCTCCCACCCCATCACCACCACTGGTCGCTGGCCCTGCCCCCTGATCGCCGTCCTCTCCCTCTGCCCACTGGCATTCACCTTGGCTGGCCTGGTGCTGCCTGCTCGCCAGCCCTGCCCCCTGCTGACCAGTCGTCCCTCTATTCGGCCGATTTGCATATTACGCTTTTATTATATAGGATTATTTATTGCATACAAATGGCTAATTATTTTGTATCTACAATCTGGTAATAGACTTATTTTGTATTTTGAAAAAATAAAATTTCATGAGAGTGGGGATTATGGGCTTGCCATAGAATATGTGTTTAATAAACAGTTGAATATATATATATATATACATGGAAAGTACACAGAGCTATCCAAATGCTGGGCATTAAAAATGCTTATGTGGAATGGAAGGTTTACCCAACCTCATAAGCATGCTGATTCTTCAGAACGCCTGTGCAGCACCCACTGGTGACAGCACCAGAGGTGGGCGCTGTGTCACAGGAGATCTGGCTCCGCAGGATGTTCTACCCGAGGCAGTGCTGGTTTTCTCAGCCCTATCCTCACAGCTGGCCGGGGCAGGAAGGCCCAGGGGTCCTCCGGGAATGAGTAAGTGTGAACCCCCGCGACCAGTGGAGCCCCGTTTTAGCGGCTCCCAAGCAGGACCTGGAGCTTCGACGCCACAAGCTCTGCCAGCCGTGCTAGGAGCAGCAGCCTTGGCCCGTGCTCTGGTGAGGAGGTGGGTCTCTGCGGCCCTTCCTCCTCTGGGAGAGCCATGAGACCAGGACGGCTGCACCCAATTTTCAGAGAGAAGCTCACGAGACATTACTATACACACCATGAACCTTTCAGGGCTCCTGATTGATCTCTGGCCGAGAAATGACACCAGGCAAACCCAAGAGAATCAACTAAACACCATCCAATCAAAGGGCTGAACACAAAATAAATCCAGCAACCTGGAAGCTGTTTCCCGAAGTCTGAGTGAGCTCCTGAGGCTCCTCTCGGGAGCACTCTAGCCAAGAACACTAGCCCCCAGGCTTCCACCTGCTGTGGCAGGTGGAGAACTGGGTGTAGAGAACCAGCAGGCTCCGTGATGGACGGCATTTCCTGGAAAGCAATCATACCTGAGGTTGACGAGCGTGGCGCTGACATTTCGAATCTTCATGGGGATGGCGGACCCTGTTCCCAGGAAGATGATTTCTGGATATTGGCCTTTTTTCTCTATGGAAAAATACAGATGAAGGGTTCACTTCTTTCTGTCAAATGTGAGCCAGCATTCTGCCCTGACATGAGTAAGTCCCAGGAGGGCCTGGGGTTCCCTGTGGCCACCGTCAGAGGGGTCACAGGCTGTTTGTGGGCAAAGGGCTGTCTGTGAAGCAAATGAATTCCTCAGGCCTTTCTTCCAAAGAATTGTTGCAAGTCTTTCAGTTACCGAGGGGCCATCCTTGTGCTTGGAATCAGCATGCACCTCCAGGGGCTGGTGTCACCTTATATCAGCTCCTACCACCAGACCTGCAGCACCCCGTTTCCCAGGACTGTGGGCTCAGGGTCAGCTCCAGAAAGGAGAGAGGCACAGCTGGGGCTGAAATCCAGGGCACCTGATGATTCTGTCGCTGGGGCCCCCTCCACCGCCTCTGACCGGCACCATGTGCACATCCGAACCAGAAACCCAATCAAACCCAAAGGCAAGTCTGTCAGTCTTCCCCAAACACCAGGAGGCCAGGACAAGAGGTTACTTGCCTAGGACTGAGTAGGTTACAAGCCCGCCTTCTACCCCAGCCATGTCTGTTTCTATCACTGTGGCTGCGCCCCAGTGGCTTAGTGGTTGAGGGTCGACCTATGAACCAAGAGGTCATGGTTCAATTTCTGGTCAGGGCACTTGCCCAGACTGCGGGCGAGATACCCAGTGTGTAGCGTGTAGGAGGAGGTGGATCAATGATTCTCATCACTGATGTTTCTCTCTCTCTCCCTCTCCCTTCCTCTCTGAAATTAATAAAAATACATTTTAAAATAAAGAAAAGGACATTCCTCAAGGGGCTAGGAAAGCTGAGGAGACGAGGGGCGTGGCCGGAATCCTCGGTGGCTCATCATTAGCAAAGACAGGACTCGGTCCCCATTCAACCACATCCTGGCTCACAGTTCTCCCCATTCTCCCAGGAGCTCCCAGAACTGCTGCTCTCGGCATGAGGCCTGGAGAGAGCCCGTGTGCCACCAGGCCTTCCTTTCGCTGTTCCAGAAGGGCAGGCACTGGTGTTTCCCAACAGGAAAGAGGGAAGCAGGGGAGGGCACACATTAACCCAGTGGGTGCTGGGCTGGGAGAAGGGCTGCCCGAGTCCCTCCCTCACCGGCTGAGGCTGGGCTGTTCTGTGCCATCTCCTTATACTCCTGCACACTCTCTTGGAAATTGGGGAGCTCCAGAGCCTCGGCTATGAATTCATCAGGATTGCAAGTTAGAAGTGCATCCCTGCAAAGAGAAAAGTATTTCAGGCGACTAAGGTTGTTTCAAATCAAGATTGAAGACCAAGCGCCTCAGAGTCTGGGCGGTCTTGTTCCGTCGGTGGGAGTCTCAGAGTGAGCTCTGAATAGCTCCAGCTCCTCAGAACATCTCCCAGCTCAGAGCCCGACAACCCTGGCACCACTGACATCTATCTGCTCACTGAATGCTGCCAGCATCTAGACTCCCCTGGAGGCCGGGGAGAGGAGAGAGGCCGGGGAAATTACCCCAAGCAGTGCATCTCAAACTTATGTGCACACAACTCATCTCCTTGTACCCCGTCAAACTGCAGGGCCTGATTCAGTGGCTCTGGTGGAGCCCGAGACTCATCCCCAGCAGCCTCCGAGCAGTGCTCTGCTGCTGCCTGGCCACGCTGAGCGCAAGCCTCGGAGCAGTGGCTCGTCCGTCATCTGAGCACTGAGATCACCTAAGTGACCTTCGGTCAGCAGTTCAGGAACTCCATTTCCCACAGGTACCAGGTGGGCATGGGTACGGCTACATTTGTTAATTGCAGCTTTGCTAACGCCTCTGCCACTGCAGACAAGCCTCCACCCTGCCTGGGGCGCCGTGCCCGTCTCTCAGCAGCATGCGGCCCCCAACATCCTGGAGCACACACTGCAGAGCTGACAGGCAACACCAGTGACTCCAGATTCAGGCCTTGAAAACTAAGGATGGGGGGCTGCAGAGCCTTTCGGGACGCCAAGGTGTTTACCAAGTGCTGTCAGGAGCAGCGGTCGCCAGCCTTTCAGACTTCACAGACCACTAGTGGTCTGCGGACCACCGGTTGGCGACTGCTGGTCACCAATGTCCCTTGGGCTAAGAACTACCCTAAGGGAACACTTCCAGTCAGGGACTGATACATGAGGCATTTACTGTTTCATTAAAACAGCAAAAACTTGCGAATGCCTCAATTTAACAAACACCCCTCTATGGACCTCTTGGGGAGACTATTTAATGACGCAGGGAAGACTATATTACACAGTGTCAGGTACTATATATACAATACATCCCATATACTCCAAGTTACAAGAAAAAAACTTTGTCAACCACCCTCTCATCTAGTGCTGAAGGGACTTCGGGGGATTGACTATCTTCACGATACAGTTCATATTTCTACGCTGAAAACAATGAACATGCATCACTGCTCCCAGCAGAGAAAACAACTGCAGAAACGGACAGTCATGGACGCCACCTTCCAGCTCAACACGAGGTCAGCTGGTTTCAGCAACGCGCTGATCCTGGGGCACAGTCGCCCGCCCGCCTGCGGGCTGTCTGTCGCTCTGGCTCGTGGGACAGTGGCAGATGGGTAGTTCCGACAGACACCACATGTGCAAAGCCTAAAATATTCACTACCTGGCCCTTCCCAAAAACCACCTCCGGCCCAGACCATCCACAGGCTGAGTCACAGACCTCTGCCACTCCCTCCGGGGCCGGAGCTGGTACTTGAGGAGACATTCGGCACGGACCGTGGGCACAGAGAAGGCGGCGCCTTCCTCCTGAAAGAGAGAGCACACTCCGTGGAGAGAGAGAAGGGGAGCGCCCGGGCCACCGGGGCCGTCCTGTGACCCTACCTTACAGTGGAGGCTGGCGAGCGGGGGGAAGATGTCAGGGTGGATGAGGTTGAGCTGTGTCTGGATCTTGTGGCTCCGGAGGTTGTGAACGGACGTACACTTCTCATTCAGGATGAGGTGCTGGGTGTCAGGCCCAAACCTAAGAAGGAACAGACTGCACATGCACAGTGTCCTGAAGGGCCTCGTCCTGAGGGGCAGCACTGGGAACAGAGCACCAACACAGATGGAGTTGTTCAAAGAGAATAAGTGACTTGTCCAGAAAGACTGTTACTAACTGGCCAGAGTCCTACTACTTCTGTCTCAAAGTCCAGTTTCTCCCCAAACTCAAACCAGAAAAAAAGAGAAGTTACAATGTTGGGAGCCCACAGCTACAGCCAGGAAACAGAGTGCAGTGCGGACTGGAGAAAAGCCTGGGAGGAAAGAAGTACCACATGTGAGACTCAAGGCCTAAGGAACAGGCCGAGGAGGGCCAAGGAGTGAGAGGCGCCAGGCCAATGAGGGAAGAGATGCAGGAGTTGCCGGAGAACCAGGACAGGCAGGTTGACCCACCACCCAGCTTCACCACGTGCTGCAAATTCAACGCAAATAATTCCCCACTCGAAGCTGGCCCAGGCAATGTGGCCAACAGGAAAGCGTGCCCTCCTTCTAGCACTACATTCTGGTAGACCATCTGCCTCACAGGGCTGTTGGGAGGATTAAAGAAAATAAAACAAAATGTAGACTACTTAACACACTGCCTGACAGGGGTGTTTAATAAACTGAAGCTCTCATTTTAAACCCGCAAGTCTCTTCTTTAGGCTACACGTGTGGAATTGTCAACAAAAAGGCAGCGTTTGTTCAGACCCTGAGTGTAGAGGGTGTGAGCTGCTACTAAATGGGCCTCACGCAAACAGGACATGTGTGCACACGGTGCCCCCTAGTGGTGACACTTTAAGAGGGATGCAGGTGCTGGCTCAGAATGCAGGGACAGCAGGAGTCCCAGGGAAGTCTAGGCAGGCATGGAGTAAGGATGGGAGCGCTTAAAGGAGAGGGGAACGTCAGGCGTGCTGCTGGGCCATGCTCCATACCTCTCCATCCACTGCTGGTACCTGCCATCCGCAAGCACACTCTCCGGGGCCAGGTGAGCCACCAGGGCCACGGGGGCATCGGCACTTCCTTGGAACCTGGATGGGAGGAAGGTGGGCTTTGCTTTATAAAATGACACAACCTCAGAGCAGGCACAAAGCAGACTGGGCGGTGAGGGAGGGGCACCACTCGGATCTCGGGGACCACAGTGAGCCCTCAGCCTCGCGTCTAGGCCGGGCTGTCCCCAGCTGCTCCCAGAGGTGCCAGAGCAGGGTGGAGCTCCAGACTGCCTGGGTCCCTCTATGCACAAGCTCTGGGCCTACCTACACTTAAACTCCAACTGGCCATTAACGTCCTAGTCTGTAGGTCTCTGCTTTGTCGGGTTTTCTAATTTCACTTCAAGGCTGCGTAACCCACAAAGCCCACCAACCACCAACCACCAGTAAAACCTGCCAGCAGGACGAGCCTAAGGTAGGAGACTGCCTTGGCCTTTCAAATCCTGACTGAGTGTCCCAGCGGCCCAGCTCTGGGCCCGGAGCAGCCACGGGTTTGGGGGCGCCCTGTTGATGCCGCTGGGTCCTACGTGCAGTATGTGGGCTCTCACTCGTCACCCCCAGGACCCCGTTACCTCTGGAAGGCAGCGTTCTCACAGATGGGTTGAATGAATCCTTCGTCTGGACACTCGACCACAACAAAAGCGAGCCCGGGGTCCGGGGGAGTACAGATCTCTTCAGCCAAAATCTGCAGGGTCAGAGGGTTGTGTCGCTCTCTCAGAGCAGCGCCAGCGCAGCAGGCACACCCCGGCCCGCAAGCCCACTGCACAGCCCAGGAGCCCTGCCAGCAACACGGGGCCAGCGGGAGGAGCACCACTGCCCCCGCCTGCCCCTGCTCACTCAGGCAGGCATCTGACCGGCAGGGGGCATTTCAAACCGACAGTGACCAGAAAGCCAGGCGTGGCACACTGGCCTAAAGTCCTTAGACTCTAGAGCAGCGGTTCTCAACCTGTGGGCCACGACCCCTTTGGGGGTCGAACGACCCTTTCACAGGGGTCGCCTAAGACCACTGGAAAACACATATATAATTACATATTGTTTTGTGATTAATCACTATGCTTTATGTTCAATTTGTAACAATGAAAATATATCCCACATATCAGATATTTACATTACGATTCATAACAGTAGCAAAATTACAGTTATGAAGTAGCAACGAAAATAATTTTATGGTTGGGGGTCATCACCACATGAGGAACTGTATTAAAGGGTCGCGGCATTAGGAAGGTTGAGAACCACTGCTCTGGAGAAGACATCCTGGCAAAGAACAAGGTAGCCTTCTTTGGGGCCATGCACCCAAAGTCCATCCTTCTGGGGGTCTTCCCTGAGCTCAAGTACAAGGGGAAGCATCATCCTACCAGGAGGGGGACCCCCAGATCCTAAGTGGGAAACAAAAGTGCCCAAGGCAGCCAGCGTAGCTTAGCCAAGCAACAAAACCCAAGCTGTTCCACTTCCCTCAGAAGTGCTGTCTGCAGGGCCTGAGCCGGACAGAGACCGCCCCTGTGCCAGGCCCTACCTGTAAATGCGGAAACATCGTGAAAGGGGCATCTTACCTCTCTTCCCTCAAAAGTGACACTTTTCCCATCCTTGACGGCAGAAATGATGGGAGCGATGGCAGCTGTGCCCCTGGGAGGATAGAGGAGCCGTGAGACGGGAGCCCTCCCACCAGGCGGCCCCACAGGCCCCGCGGGAGCGGCCCAAACTCACACTGGGAGGCCCAGCTCCTTGGCTCTGAGCACCAGGAAGTTTCCTTTCTTCAGGTGAAGCTATAACAGAAAGAACGCAAGTGTACTTCAGTGACTAACGAAGAAGCTTGGTTTAATCAATTTTCTAGTAAGTGCATCTTTCTGGTTTTACTTATTATTGTTATTACAACCTCAGATAAAGTATATTACATTCTGAAGTCATTTGTTTTGAAACGCTTTAGTAATAAAACACTTTTAATAATAAAAGCTGACTTAAAAACAGTGCTTTCTTTTCCAACATTAATTCCCTATAAATGTATAAAATGTCACCCATTCCCATAGCAAGTAAGAAGTATCCTTCTAGCATCCTAGAGGAGAAACGCTGCGCTGTGCCATCGCCCTGCACTCATCAACTAATAGCTACAGGAGCGCCACCGAACACAGTCTGATGGAGAAATGACCACACGCATCACTGTCACGCAATATTCCGGGGCAGTGACAGGGTAATATAAGTGTGGACAGTTTCTCCTCTATTTTTCGCACATTTGGCAATATAATGCTGTTGCTTTTATAATGGAAAAAAGTTA